TCTGGCCAAAATCACCAAAACATCATAATATATTCAGCGACCATTTCATGGTCTTTTGTTTCTCCCTGGCTCTGCTCAAAATTTCCAAAATGAGCGACATGTTTTGGTAATGTCTGCGCTCTGTATTAAAGTCGACGCCAACAACGCATGTTCTGGAACTCTGGCTCAAATCGTATATATCTCAAAACGCCATGTTCATCACCGCTATGAATATCTCCGTCTGAGTCTATCTCAACATCCAAAAAAGATATTTTTGATCACCATGTTGGCTGCTCGTTCTATGGCCACCTCTAGACCAAAATGTTTTCTGGACCCTCTGTCACTCATGCATCAAAACATCTGACTATCCGAACAAGAACTGCGAGGGGTTTTCTCGGAGCCTATTCGAGTGTTCAAAAAGCTCAGTGATGACTGTTTATGTCTGCTGCTCTGTTTCAAAACAGCGCACCTCTTTCAAATCCTGGGATCTCTGGAAAAATCAAACATATACCAAAATACGGGCTGATCACGTCTCATGGGAGCCTCTCCTCTGGGACTGCTAACAAATTCTAAATGTGCGATTCTCTTAGGCAATGTCTCCCGTTCTGTTCTACAAGAATCACTCCAAATAGCCCATGTTCTGGGCTTTCTCTGATCAAAATTGCTCAAATGCCGAAAGTACCACCATCGGTCGTGTTTGAAGGTTGTCTTTGAGAATTCTCAAAGAGCTCAAATAAGGATATATGCACACAATGTCTGCTGCTCTGCTGCAAATGGAGCTGATCAAGATTCATGTTCTGAAGGTTCTCTGGTCAAATCCATTCGTATACCAAAGAACAAATCATATTGTCGCTATGGGGGCTTTCTCTGCACCAACTCAAATGTCTCAAAGTACGACTTCAAAACTGCTATTTTTGTCGCTCTGTTCGATTTGAAATTTGCAGCAAACGAAGTGATGTTCTGCAACTTTTGGCTGGTCTATTTATATACGAAGATTTCTTCCTACCAACGTATGATGCATTCCTCTGGACCTACCTAAGACTCTCTGATATATATTTACCTTTTGATATCTGCTACTCCTTCTCAAAAGCCACTGCTCACAGACGTATGTTCTGGGCTTTCTCTGTTCAAAACAGCGCATCTCTCAAAACAGGAACAGCAAATCGATGGAACTTCACTCTGATTCAGCCCGAAACTTCTTTGCTTACCTCTGCTGCTCTGCCACAAATTTGACATTCTCCCAAGCAATGTGTAGGATCTTCTGGACAAAATAGTTCATATATCAAAAAAACCCACCCCACCTTCATGAAGTTTCTCACTGAACGGAGTCAAATATCCAAAGCAACGCGTCTGCATCTCATGTCCGCTGCTCTGCTCCATTCTCAATAATACATATGCTTGAATCATGTTTCTTATGTTTCTTTTGCTGATACCTTATTGAAAGCGTACCAGCAGCTCACGCATGGACTGTTTCTCCGAGCCTGCTCAAATACTCCTGTTTATCTCTATTGCTCTGTTCCAAAGCAGCTGTTCGTAGGAAACATGTTCTGGATCTTCTGGCTGAACCCATCAAATAAGCTGAAACAACGTTATAACGCCATGAAACTCTGCACCGGGAATACTCAAAAGTTGAAAATCCTCACAGAGGGGTGTGCATGTCTCTGTCTGTCTACGTCGTTCTCAAAACACTGATGAGCATAACGCATGTCTCTGCTCTTTTCTCTGAAAATCCATTTTGAACCCACCAAATACTTTCTTGCATATTTGACCAAATCCATAACTGAGGACCCATGTGCCTGCTGGTGGCGTCTGAAAACTGAGAAGGCAGCGACTGATGTGGTAGCTCTCTCCTCCTTCTTTCTGCAGTCTCTTTCAAATCGCAAATGGAGATGGTTTGAGTCAATGTTCTCCTGGTTTCTCTGGGAATAAAATCCGCAACTCCAATCCCTTTCTTGGACATTAATCAAAATTGTGATGGAAGCGCGCGATGTCTCCGTCTCCCCTGTCTGCATTTCTGTATCTGCATGTGGCGGGCTTCTCATGTTCCTCTACGACGACCAAAAAATCACTCAAAATCCGGACATGTGTTGGCTTTCTCTGCTGTCTTCTGGGCCATTTTTTTCTCTCTCTTCTGGAGCTCTATCCTCGAATGCGTGTCAAAATGCGTGGATCGTTGGCTGAGATGCATGTGTTGGGTTCTTTGTGCTCTTCTGCAACCTTCCAAAATCTGAGACTAAGGCAGACGATGCGTTTCCCCTCTCTGTTCCTTCGAAACGATGTATTCTGTACGCATGGACTTGTTCTTTCGAACGGTCTTCTAAAGGCGGAAGCTAAAGAACATCACTTCCTCAGCGCCGCCAAAAAACGGAAGAAGCACTGCGCATGTCGGCTTCTAAAATCTTCTTCACAACTTCCGCATTTCCGGTGTTGGCCTTCTCTGCCGTGAGGCCTCTGCAAGCATGACTTTGTACTTTGAATCATCCAAATAAATTCTGTCAAATTAAGGGCGAATGCGCACTATGTTTCTGTCAGCAACAGCAAAGTACACCTGTAGCCCATGCTCTGTAGCGAGCTTCTCTATCTCTCTGCGAAGTCCAAAATCGACCATCTTCGGCTTATGTGTCGGACTTTGCTATCTTCCTCTGCCAAAATGTCTAAAATAGCGACCCATCGCTTTCATGTGCCGACCTTCTGTGTCTTCCTTGAATGATGATTCTACATCCCAAATGTTCGTCCTTGACTGGCTGTTTGTCAAAACAAATTAGGCATGGGATTACTTGTATGTTTGCAGCACCAAAAAGACCAGCACACCTTCGCACGGGGTGCGCTTTTCTATAAATCTCTGCTCTGTTTACTCTATCCCTCAAAAGTTTCTCCTCGAACGAAGGAAGGTCAAAAAAGACTGCACACCGGCCAATGTGATCGGCTTCTCTTCTGACTAGATGCAATCTCTCTGCTCGGGGCTTTTTTCTTCTGTGACACTCAATATAAGAAGTGACTTGGCGGCGTCCCATGTTCTTTATCTGGAAAAGCCAAAGTTGGTCCTGGATAGTCCCATGTGTGGAGCTTATCTACCTACCTTCGATATTTCTCAAAGTGTACCACAACTACCTTATGATCTGTCTGTTCGCCACTTTTGTTCAATCTGTCGCGATGTCCAAAAACAAGCACTCACTACTCATATTTCTCTGCTCTTTCTCTTCTCTGAAACCATGCTGGAGTCATTCAAATGTCAACATCATCGAAATGCAACCTCCACTCTCAAAAATCAAAGAATGGCAGATACTATGTGTGGAGCCCCTCTGTTTGCTTTGAAGTCTCTTGAGTACCTGTGAGTACTTATGCATATTTTGCTCGCCACTTCCATCATCTCTGCCCGCAAATACTGTCTCAAACTCTTACGAAGATTTGCCGATGCCTGTCCTTTCTTTCTGTTCTTGCGCTCCTCGAATACCACAAAAGGTCTGATGTCTGTATAATGAGCAGATTCTGCTTCTGTCTCTGGCTCCTGGAGGACTTCAAAACTACGCAAAATGCGCATAATGCTCTGTCTGCCGCTTCTCTGGAATCTGCTTGCACAAATGTCTTCTCTCTCTTTGTTTCTTCCTTTCTCAAAATAGCAAAGTTTGTTCATTTCTGCAACCCAGCCTTCACCTGCTTTGATTCCCTGCTGGAGGCAAAATTCGTGACCCAGAGAAATATGTTTGCCCGGGCTCTGGGACTCTTCATCCATAGTGGAGATGGCTCCGAATACTCTTTGGATTTCTACGTAAATTATCATTTCTCTGCAGAAGAGATAAAGATCATGTATGTGTTTTCTGTTGTTCCTTTTCCAAAAGTAGATGGGTGCTTCCGTATCTTGTTTGCCGCCGCAAATGATTCAGATACTACATGTAGCCTGCTTTGTACTTTCGAGTTGCCGAGCGTCGGCATGTCACTGCTTCTGCTGCCGGGGGCCCGGCACTATTTGAGGCGGCAGCACTGTGTGACATCAAACAAACTAGTCTCGTGTGCTTGGAGGATGGAAATTGAGGTAGGTTGGCAGGGAACTCGTATTATGCATCTGAGGAAGCTCTTCCGACGTAGCTCCTCCCTCATGAGCAGAATGTCTGCGTATCAGGTCTTCTCGCTCATGGAATACGAAGAATTGCGATGTCTCTGTGATCCGTATCCTTCTAGTCAGATCGGTATGTAGAATGTCCGGATAACCTTTCCGTCACTCTCCAAGGAGCTTTCGAGCTCCTTCTCCTATACCAGTGAGGCGCTTGCGATGCAACTGGAGAGTCGCTTGACTTCGTCCCTTGTGAAAGAATTGAACAATCGAACAATGATCAGGTAATTCGCTGGATACCAAGAAGCTTCGGCTGAAAGTCGTGAACTTAGGTATTTGATACAAAGATAATCAAGGCTTTGTGTGCAGTGCGGGCAGGTGCAATGGTAGATGCACTCCGGGTCTCAATGCTGCATTTGATGAGCCCGCACATGAATGAGTCTGCTCACTTGGCCAATCAAGTATGGCTTATCTCCTCTGTAGTCGAGAAGATAGGTTAGAATCCCACAATACCTTTGCCAGCCCGGTCTTCAGTGGTTTACTGCTCCTTTGATGATGATACGGGTCTCGATCTCCCTGAGCGCCCCTTTGGGTATTTCAATTAGACACTTCGCGATTGCCCTTGCAGTCTCCGCGTGATGATGCTCATATGTCCGCAGACTTGGGCCCCGGCAGCGTGTTGTAGGTGGCCAGAAAGCTCACGCTGCATCAACTCTTCTGTTGGCCCACATATAACCCGGTGAACGGCTTCTGGTGATCTGATACCATCTCTCCCATATCGTTTGCTTGCAGTCATCCAGGCAAGCGGCCTTTTGTTTTCTTTATCCATAGATAGTTCTGTGGCACACGCAGGTGTATTGGGTGAGTGTGGGTCCACCAACTGATGGGGCCATGTTGCCTGTGCTCCACAGTCACACAAACATTGAGTACATATTTTATTAACTCGCGCAACGTTTCTATAAATAGCTTCGATCGTTTGGCCGAGTGGTTATGGCGTGTGACTCAAGCGATTCTCTAAGAAGAGCTTTCTCCATCACGGAGAGTTTTCTCATGGGCTTTGCCCGCGAGGGTTCGAATCCCTCAGCGATCACTATCGAACTCTTCTTTCTAAGGAGGTTTCCAGCTTTTTCGGCTCAGTGGTCTAGTCGTATGATTGCTGCTTCGGGTTTCTCGCCCTGGTCCTTAGGATCGTGAATGTAGCAGGTCCCGGGTTCAAATCCCGGCTGAGCCCTCTTTTTGCTCCTCCTCACAGTATGAGGGAGGTTGAGCCTTCTTTTTGCTGGTGTGGGGGTGTTGGGAGCTGACACGTGGTCTCAGCGAGCGTTGGCAAGCTCCCACACTACAATGTTGCAGCAGAGATGCAGATCCCAATGCAAGAAGATGTCAAACTGATGCAAAATGTTTCAGCAGGCTTCAGGCGAATGCTGTCACCATTTCGACAAAACCATTAAGTGGCCGTGTGCGGCTAGCGCAGTCGCGTCGCGTGCGCGGGAACGTGCGCGAAAATGGGACGCGTCGACGCGCTCTCCACCCCCACTGCCCATAAACACTTTAGCTGTCTCCCCAGCTTGCACATCTTCATCATCATAGCGTATTCCTCCTATGCAACCATTGTCAACCATATCTCAACACCGCATTACTTGTTACAACACCACACACAATGGCTTTCGCGCCTGGTCAGCTCCCAGCTGAGCTCCTCAACCTCCTCGCACTCCACTCGTCTTTCCTGACAGCCCTGTCGTTGCACTACGCGCACAATGGCACTTCGACCCCCGCAGATCTGCGTGATCTCACAGCATCCGTCACACTGGTCTGGAGACAGCGCAAGGTCACATATGACGATATTCGGCTCCTGATGGGTGTCCTCAGCTACGGCCCTGACGGCTCGAGCAACCCGTACTCCCTCTCCGACTACGGCCGCGGCAAAATTGTCCTCGAGATCAAGGGGAACAGTCCGATGCTTGATGGGATGACAGGTGTCAACGAGCAAGCGTTGACGGATATGTTCAAGGAGGGTCTCGACGCTTTGTGGTCACAGTGGTGCGACTCGCAGAAGATGGCCTCGCGACCAATTGCAACACCCAGAAGAACACGCGGACGGCCTAAGAAGGCTGATACGAAGCAAGCGCTTCTGGAGAACTTCCTCGACGACACCTCCATGTCCAAGTTCCTCGCCCAACTCCCCCTTGCCGACATCGAGACCTGCGAATCGCTCAACGCAATTGCACCACTACAAGAGAAGGGCCGCAAGAGGCTACGAGAATTCAAGGAGAGCGTGCAGCAGGGCCGATCCCAGAAGAAACGCAATGTTTGCGGCAAAGAAAACGAGCCAATGGTCTCTCAACCTACACAAGCGCAACCCGCGCAGGCCAAGATCACCGAATTCGCAGCAGTCCGCAAGACCAATCTTCTCGACCGCATCCTCGCAAAGCAAGAGGCAGCCAAGTCCGGACCCGCTGCGCCAACAGCCGCGGAGCTGCAACGACGCGCCGCTCTCCAGCGTTCCGAGGAAGTCCTTGGTGTGCTCTCCCTCCTCTGTGCCAGCCGCCCTGGCATGCGCGTTTCTTTCTCTACAACCACAGTTCTGCAACAGCTGCAGGGCTCAATACGGAGCCCGATCTCCAAGGAAGAGGCGATGAAGTGCATTGAAGTCATTGCAAAGGAGGTTGCACCAGGGCATGTTTCCATTGTCAATATGGGCTCTATTTCTAGTGTTGTGGTCATCCCTTCGATGAGGCCATTGGATGTCAAAAACCGTCTCATCGCGCTTGGAGCATGAGCTGACTTCTTACTACTTTTTCTTTTGTCATTCTATTATATACTGCATAGCCGGCCTACTGTTGTTTTGTGATCAAGCGTTCGGGCGAGCTTTCGCTGCCATGGCATATGAGCGTTTCAGTATCAGCATAGTAATTTGAATACCCTCTCAAGAGGCCTTTTGTCTCCAACTCCGCGTCTTCGGTCCTGCCTAGTGTCTAGAATCCCGTTTGAGGCTGCATGTATTACAACGGTTTGGTGCGACAACTGACAGCTGCGACATGTCAGACCACAGCTGCAACGCCTGAACAACATGCCTTAATGCACCCCAGGCCATATTCAAATTGCACACTTTCATTAATGAACAATGATCTGCATACTACCGCTCAATATTGAACATGTTTGGAAACGAATAAACTCCACAAAGCTTGTGCTGAGCTTTGTGATAAACAGAGTGTACTGGCATGTCGGACTGACATTGACAGCAACGCCCTCTATCAGCAATCTCAAACATGACAACGGGATTCAGATGTGCCGAGCATCCAAGACACGTCAAAAACACACTTGACGGCATTAGCACATCGAGGTACCGCGGCACTTGATGGCCGCATAGTCGGTGTGACTCGTCTCTACCGAAAATTGCAAAAGATCAGTGTGTATATAAGGATGCTCTTTGCGACTACAGGCGTTCTCGATGTACGATTTTATATTCTATTTCTTCATACTTCTACCTTTGGAAGCTGGACTTTCAATTACAATTAATATCCTCTTCTCGAAACTTACTACAACCTCAATAACTAATTCAAAATGAAGGCGGTACTTCTCCTCTTGTCTGCTATGGTCTCCATGGCTGCTGCTACGCCAGTGTTCCCCCACGTCCAGCTTGAACAGCGTGCAGGTATGTCCCATTGCATCTCACCGAGCGCAGAGCACGATTTCTCTTTCCCTGCCACCAGTATCAGTACTCCACAACGAAATGATTGATACGAATCAGCATCCAACTCTACATCACCGTCCACTTCCCCAGCAGGAAGCACTGTCACCATCAAAGCAGGCGACACGCTGTCCACTATCGCGGCAAGCACAGGCGTCGGCATCTGCGACATCGCCAAAGCAAACAACATCAAAGACCCAAACGTCATTCAAGCGGGTGCAACGCTCAAGATACCTGCTGCGACGGGCAAGAAGGACAACACAAGCTGTGTCAAGAAAGCATGAGAGTGAACGTAAGAAACTGGCACTTAGACCGGAGACGGAGAAGAAAGCGCTGAGAAGTGATAAATACCTGTAAATAAAACCACACCTCTTTATAATAGCTACAAACCCCCTCTAGAGCTTCACATCCCCCACTCCTCTCACCCCTCAACCCTTCATCCACCCACTAACAAACGGAATCACCGCCGCCGCCCCAAAATGCGGCAGCGCAGCCCCCAACCCAGCATACCTCCAGGTAACCCAACCATCCACACACCCATCCACAGCCAACAACGTCGCCATCGTAGCCGCAGCCTTGAAATCGCCCCTCTGAACGAAGACAGCCGAGATAATACCGAACGTCAGATTGCGGCCGCCCATGCACTGCACGAAGCCCGAGGCGAAGGTGTTGTCTTGGATGGGCATGCCGAAAAGCGCGGCCAGCGTTGTTGGCGACAGGAGCGCGAGGAGTCCCGTGCTGAGGAGGAAGCCGGTTACGCTGTAGTTGGCGAGGAGTTTGAGGGTGCGTTGGTCGGGCATTGTGATAGTGGGATGGGTTGGGGCAAGCGGAGTTTCTCTGGGAGATGGAGATTGGTGGTTCTGAATGTGTTGGTTTGGATGAGGTATGGAGAGATGCACATTTGTATGTTGTTTGTGAGAGTATGTGGTGGGTTTGGTTGACGTCATCTATTCTATCTACAACGGTGCTTAGTTCTTTTGTTGTTCTTATGTAGGAAGCCATTCACGCGACAGGAACAAATGTTTTGCGAGGGCAACTGTGGATGTCGCTACAAAAATGTCTGCTCTGGTCAGGATTTTCTTAGGTGAAGCAGTCAGATCGTGACATGCATATAGATACAAGTGACGCGTTTTCTGGGATTTGACATGATGATCTAATCAAGATTACTTGTGGACTTTGAGTATACATTAGAGAACCGGTTGTTTCGCCGACATGGTTTGGTTCGATGCTAGCAAGACCGTCAAAGTATCTGAGTGACTGAACTCAACAATCCTTCCAACCGGAAATTTGAGGTGAATCCCAACTCTCGCGGAGTCTATGCTACGTCTCATGGCCTGGCTGATGACGCCTCTAAAACGATCAAGCGAACAGTAGTACACAAACAGTCGAATGGTAGTACTCGACTAAGCTCGACGCGTAAGCAGATCTACATCATCGACACCATCAGTAGCAGTTCTGACCGGTTCATCGCAAGCCAAGCAGTTCAACAAGCTTTGAAGTAATTCTTTGCTTTATTCTTCTTCTTTCGACCTCGATAAGATATACAAAGGGTGTACTAAATGATATAATAGAACCCCTACATCCGCACCCGAAGAAATCTAATATGCTCACGCAAAATCTGCCTGCCTGTTATTACTAAGTGTAGAATGAGAGAGATGGGTGTATGTTGCCAAGAAATGCCAATGCCAATGATATGATGATGATGACTTGTTGAAGATGACAAAGCTGAACTTGATGAAGCAACGCTCGCTGATGCATGGCTGAGAACAAAAAACAACGCCTTTGTAATGACTTCCCGGTCCTTATTCCTCAATCCTTCTTTTCGTCGTACTAGGCCGCGGCCTTTCGGACGTCCTCCTTTGCTTCTTTTGGCGAAAGCTCGTGCCCAATGTGGGCGGCGCGGGGCGCGTACTTGATACTATTTCTGGCCCGATTGAGCCTCCCATCCTCCGCAGCCTCGTCGCTGTATCGCGGAGGGCGTCGCAAGGGGAGCTGCTGCTGACAGAGTAGTGTGTATGTGCGCTCACTTGTCTCCAACGAGCAACTCTGAGCCAGGGACGTTGTAGCCGAAGTCGAGGATCAACGTGCGTCCATCCTGGCTTGTAGCGACGACACGTCGGTAGTCGCTCTTTGCAGAGAGAATCCAGCTGGTCGTCCAGTTCTTGTACACAGCATATGTTTGGCCAGTCTCGTAATCTGAAACTTGAATACTCTGATCATACGAGCCGGACACTATACGGCCGTTGAAAGCATCCAAGAACAGCGAGCGGACGAGACCTTCGTGCTTAACGCGGCTGTGGACGAGATTGCCAGAGTTGGCGTCGAACTTGTACACTACGTGGTCGTTGCCGCCTGCAAGAACGTACTTGGCATCGTCGGAGAACTCGACAGCTGCGAGGCCCCTATCCTCAGACGGGAAGTCCTTGATGGACGCACCGGTCTCGAGGTTCCACAGCTTAGCCATGCCGTCTCCGGAGGCGGAAACGAGGAGGTTGCCACGGAGCTGGACAGCGTTGACAGGGCCACGGTGTCCCTTGAGT